CTGTCCAAGTGGCCTGACATATGCATTGCAAATACGCCGCAGGATAACAATGGACAGGATAAACAAACAAACGGTTGACATGCACTCAAATTGGTTTTGCGCAAATATGAAGAAAAAATGCATTCAATTGAAATTGGTAAAACTGCTGTTATTTTAAAAGGAAAAAGCTCAAAGCTTTGGGCAAATACACGAGTACAACGAAGCAAATGGTTAAACATGAAAATATTTTGTTAAGAGGTGAGGAGCAGTAATGAGAATTGAGTAAAAAAAAACTTGTTTGCATTGGAAAGTGACTGCTTATTATTTGAATTCAGTCGGGCAGCTTCAGTAACACTCACTTCCGAGTGAATTTCAATAAAATTAGCTTTGAGTAGTTGCTAGAAAATGTTCAACTAGAAAAGCAGGAAAAAACACTTAATTTATTTGAACAAACTTTTTTTGAAATATTAACGTTTTTTTTTAATGCATTACAAATTCCCAGTTATTTTCACATTTGTTTTTCGCCATGACCATCACTTTCCTTGCTTTCCTACGCATATTTCACACAACGGATGCGGTTGCACTAAATCAGTGGTTGCACATTTGAGAGTCGTAAACAGACACATTTAGTTGGCGCCATGCATTTTCTCGAATTTGGCAAAAGTCAACGGGAGATAGAAATTTAAATAAATATACATAAAGTACATAGTTGTGTACATAAATACAGTTCTACAGAAACTGATAATGAAAAACAAAAGGGATGTTCCCTTTTCGTTAATTGATATCATTTTCTTGGTTAAAGTTGAAGTGATTATGAAAACTTTCATAAATACTAATATTTGCTTCAATATTTCTGAACGCCACAGGCAATATTTTACTTTTGTATCTCAAAAAATGTCGTAGCAATCCTTATTTAAATATGTGTGGAGCTGGTGAAGTACAAGCGCCAACTTTTATTATTTGAATGTATAGGTAAATGCTTATATGCTTAAACGAAAAAAATACTTTTTTGCTACCTAAACTTTTTAATACTCAGAAGTAGTAATAATAATAGACTATTTCCACCAAAAGCTTAACTGCAGTTAAGAGATCAGGTAAGTCGCCATAATTTCCCCTTTTTCCTTTTTTTAATTGTTTAATGTTAAATAATTTTTTTATTAAAGTCTAGTTAATTATGTATATAATACTTAAGCACCATATAAATCCACATTTAAAACTTTGTAAACAAATTTTCGCTACAACAACAAACTTTCTTATTTATAATTTTTACAAAATTTATAAGTACGCTGTTTTGTGCCGCATTAAGTAGAATAAAGTGCAAGTTTCAAGGGGCTAAGAATTCGTGTTAATTTTTTTTTTATAATTTTTTGAAAATTTTCGAACACAGTAATTTGGTATGGAAGAAAATGCGTGACAACGTCAGTAAACAAATTTCGAAAACGGACACTATAGACACTTAAAACAAGAAAATTGTTGTTGCACAAGTTTATTGAATTTTTCTGGCTTCTTTTTAGACCGTATCATTTTGCCGCAGGGGGGTACGACTGGTACACATAGTACCAGAAGCACTTTTATTTTATTGAGAAATTGTTTAAAAAAATAACTAATTCTCGTACAGTAAAAGATGCTTTTTTAATGGAGATACAGAGAAACGGAAATTTTTCGCAGCAGTATACAGTTTTTTGTCTGAAAAAATATACGGGCGTTATATATAGGAATATTCGGGAATTTAGTGGGGAAGGTGCTACTGCTTTTCCACCACCATGGAAAGTCACGAAGCACGGTGTGCAAAATGAACTTTTTTGTGACAAAATTTGATATCTCGAAAATGAGATCAACTAGCGAAATAAATTTAACATTTTTTTAAAGCTCTTGAGATAAAGAACTCAAAAAATAGCTACGTTCAATAAAAACAAAATTACCTTGACCTTTAAAATATTCTTCAAAAACTGAGGATTTAAAATTTTTCTCTGTTTGACTTAAAATTTATAAAAAGTTTTAAACATGTATGTTTGCTGTACTATCATCAAGGAATCCAACTCCAGGGTCGCAAAAATCAAAAAAACTCATTTTTTTTTTATAGTTAATCACAGGGTAAAAAAAGTAAACAAAGTGAAAAATCTAAAATTTCATTTTGAAGGTAATTTTAGAATTCTTGCTGAATAAAAAAATGACCATAACCTTAAAAATTATTACTTTTTATTTAAAATATATTTTTTTGGCTTGGAAAAAATTGTAATGAACTTAAAAAAAAAATTAAAATGTGTTTTTCGGTGCTTCTGGCCCAGAAAATGGATTCCTTGATGCCAGAACAGCAAAAATATCGAGCCCTATTTTCCCGAATTCTCTGTCTTCAAAGCTTTGAAATAAGTTGAATCTACATACTTTGCTAGCGGATCTCGTTCTCCAGATATTTAATTTTGTCATAAAACAAATTAATTTTCCACACTGTGCGACATTCAATGCCGCCGCCTTCTATAGGACCGCAAAATTTGAAGTTTATTTAATCTCGAGTTAGACAAGTTGTCGATTTGTTGGTTGAGAGCGTAAAAAAAAATTATAATAATAAAACAAAAACACTGCAAATTCGGTCCCCAAAAGTCTAATAAAGCCATAAATTTCTTAAAGTATAATTTCAGATTATTAAAAGGTAAACGAAAAAATTATCAGAGCAACAAATACTAAACAATTTTCATGCAGAACCAGTCAGTAGTCCAAACATTTTGATGCTTTTTTTAAATGAATTTTTATTAATTCCGAATTGCTCTCATTTAGCTAATTTATAAATAACCACAACTGCGGCTATCCACGAACTGGGATTTCCTGATGGAGTCTTAGTTGAGCTACTTAGTTGAGTCTACTGAGGGCTTTCTCGATGCGTCGCAAAGTTGTTTGCATTCTGTGGCAAAAAGTAATTTTACCCGATTTGTGGAAATATACAGTTATTGTTTCTACTTGCATATACATTTCTTCTGCTGCCAGATACAAAAAATATGACTATTATTGCTTTGCGAAGTTGGCTTTGCTTTTTATTTTTTATTGCCTCTTTATTTAATTTGAAAAGCAGAATTTAGTTGTGAGACGGGTTAGTTGTCGGACCTGTATAGTTGGATTGAGCTAATGATATCAGCGCTAATGCTTCATTTTATTTGCTCGATATGTATGTATGTATGTATGTATATTATAGAATCGCGGAACAAAAGACTATTGCAGTGAGTAAATCACAAAAAACCGATCATGGAGGTGGAAAAAATGGTGGTAACTAGTAAAGAAGAAAAGAGAACGCAGCTAGAATGGCAAAAATTCCGGTAAAATTTTTGGCAACAAGTATTCTTGTATTGCCTTTATTAGGGATGCTTAGAGTGCAGAATTTAAAGAAGCCGCGTGTGCTTAGAAAAGAAATCATATAAAACTGTGCAGCATCGGCGTTTAGACAGACAGAAGTCGAAAAGTTTTCAGTTGAACTACTCACTTTAGAAAAAATGGTAAATATTTGATGATGGTGAAAAAATGAATTTTAAAAGTGTTAAATTGAAAAGTAGTATATGTACATATGTCGTCAAAGAAATTTGAGAATGTGCATTTTCAAAGTGCAAGGAAATTGCGAAAATTTTGCATGCCGAAATAAATAAATTTTTTTTGAATTCAAAATGATGGAAACGGGAAAATTGGGTGGATGCAAAAAGTTTTGCTAAAAAAGACGATTTCAACAAAAATAAATATATAAATTTGAAATAAAATGTATAAAAAAAATACTTTTTTAAAATGATATGAATAATTGACTGAAAGAACTATAAACAAATTTTAAAAATTAAAATAATAAAAAAAATTTACTGGAATAAAATAAAAAAATACGAATTGGAACATCGATTTCCTTATAAAACCGCAAACATTTTTATATAAAAATACTAACTAAAAATACGGAATTTTAAAAATTGTATGGAGATGATTAAGAAATAAAAATAATATAATCCGCAAAACCTGAATAAAAAAAAAAAAATTAAAAATAAAACTGAATTAAAAATTTGACCATGACTGACATCTGGATTGTGTAGATAAAAAATTAAAGAATATTTCAACAATAATTTACATAGTGAACAAGTAATTTTTAAGCAAAAACAAAACCGACTTCAATTATCCAAACTTAGTATAGCATCACCCTTGAGGTACCACCTTTTCGATGAAAACGGAATTATTGAAATCAGTTAACGTGGTCCAAAGTTATGCGGCAATATACATAACAAAAAATAATAATAATAAAAAAATATTCCGACGAACTGATAACTTCCTCCTTTTTTCGAAGTCAGTTAAAAATTACTTTTTCTTTCTGGCAGTTTTCAAATAAAACCAAAAAAGAACTATAATTATCATAAAATAAAAAATCAAAAGCGAAAGCACTATCTTTTATTTTTGCAACAAAAACATGAATAACTTAATAAAAATATTCAACTCGAAATACGGACGCAACATTTTTTATTATTACCAATTAAAGTTTTTTATTGTTTTTTCATGAAAATTTTTTGTTTATATTTTGATTCTTACAAAAAATTTTTTTGTTTTTTTTTTTACGAAAATTGTTTGCATGCATGAGGTTCGGCTGAATTTTATGAGCATATTTTCGAAATTAAAATATTTTTTCATATGTTTTTAGTTACATATGTTTTTTTTTATTTTTGCGTTTTAAAAATAGGGGTTTTAACAGTACCTACTAGTTAAAATATATTTAAAAATTCCTATAAAACACTAAAAAGTCACTACCATATTTCGTATCCATTTTGAATTTATTTTAATCTTTCAAAATATAAATTTTTTTAAATGCCAAATTTAAAAATTATATTTTTTTATGTAAAATATTTATATTAAAGAAAGCTTTGCCAATACATTTATTTAGATATGCATAATCAAATATTTAGTAATTCCACAAATTTCTCCCATTTTCACTTTAACTGTTACTATATCAATAAAACAATAGCACTTAAGGCAAACTTAAGGCACTTAACCTGTCTCTCCCACTCTTCCAGAAATTCTTCGCCATTGCCGCCTTCGCCGCCGTGCTGGCCTGCGCCTGCGCTGATGTTTCCGAACTTGGCTATGCCTACAGCCAACCCGCTGCTAGCGCTCCAGTAAGCTCTTACTTTGCACCAGCTGCCGCTGCTCCAGAGCCAGCCTATGCCCCTGCTCCCGCCCCAGCACCAGTCTATCAAGCTGCCCCATCTGTTCCCGTCTCATCGTACATTCCACCTGCTGCCACTGCTCCTGAGCCAGTCTATGTTTCCGCTCCAGCACCAGCACCAGTCTATCAACCAGCCCCAGCTGCCGCTGCTCCAGCTCCCGTCTATGTTTCCGCTCCAGCACCAGCTCCAGTCTACCAAGCTGCCCCATCCGCTCCCATCTCATCGTACATTCCACCTGCTGCCACTGCACCTGAGCCAGTTTTCGTTTCTGCCCCAGCACCAGCTCCAGTCTACCAAGAAGCTGCTTCTGAGGTCTATGAGCAACCCGCTCAAGATGGTTACAGATACCGTACCGTCCGTCGTCGTGTCTACAAGCAACGTCGTTACTAAACTCAGTTTTTCAATGTATGTAAAGCTTTAGAGCTCAGCAAGCATCGCGTGAACAACTGAGAGGCTTTCGTAGCGAATTAGTTTTTTTAATTCGCTTAAATTGTGTTGTTAACTATTTTTTCGAAAAATAAAATCCACATTTAAAAATACAAGGTATTCTTTTTTTCTCAATTAAGGTTCAAGTAGAAGGTCGTCTTGGGAGACGTTGATGTGGTTTTGCAGGCGTAATAAATGAGCAACAGCAAGCTTTTTGGATTAGATTGCTATTGCGACACCGCACTTTATTTTAGATCCATCGTTTTAGAGAGAGAGAGAGACAGGTGGCTTGACTACTATGCGAACTGTATCTATTTGACCAGGATATATTTATTTGCATAAGAAAGTGCCTTGAAAATTGTTTTAATGGGTCATTTCTGCTTAAGGATATATATTTTCAAAGGCAGAGACTATTTCGGCCTTCTTCACGATGGCCACTTTTTCGGTTGGCAATTATTAAAAATTATTTTATCATATCTTGCATATGTATTAAGTTAGGGCCGGAATGGAGACGTTCCGAGTGATAGGACGCAATTAATCGGCTACCAGGGCCGTCTTTCAGTGGCGAAGTTTGAACCACACTGAAATACCCGGCTATTTAAAGAGATATGTATCTAGTATAAGGCTGTTTAGAACCAGTCGACCAAACCATCTTCCTTCGGCTTTGAGGACGTTGTGGTGGCTATGAACTTTGGTGGCGACTGTCAAGCGGGTGGTGATAGAAAGAAAAAGCTACGAAAGCTAATCTCTAAAATTTTCGTTTATTAACTGTCTGAATTAGTGTTACATCGACGTGAAAGGCTACTGACCTGCAAGATCTGCCGTTCAGTGAGTCGAATTTTCTCTTGGGAAGCCGTATGTTTAGCTTAGAGCACCGCAGCAAGTTCCGTATTTTTTGCTCATCGAGGGTGTATGCATTAAATACTCTGGCAGTGTCTAGATTAGTTTTTGTGCTTATAGTATTTGCTAAGGCATTTCACTCAACTTTTGATACCAACGATCTCAGAGGCACTTGGATTTTAGGAATAAACACCACTTATTAGAAGACCCAGTACAGGGTAGCAAGTCGAAGGCGCTCATATAAGTTTTTCCATATGCAACACCGTTTCTTTGCTGCCATCTAAGCTGCATTTGCGGCATTTTCTGTTGTATGTAAGACCTATTCTACAAGCATGTCTTTCTAGTGGCCAATACTTCTATCCTTAACCTACTTATCAGCTCTGTTGTTCTCTTCCTGCTACAGCTAGACCAAGGCTCTCATGCTATCTTGCAAGTCTGGAACTCCGACCACCTCCTCCTTGCTAGTTCCCGAACATGCAGATGGATTTCTGGTTGCGTTTGCCTGAGGGAATAACCCAGTACCAGCTACAGATTCATCCAAACAAGCTTCCACCTTGGCCAGTGGGTACGCTCTCTCATTTCCTTCTATGTTCCTATGGCCGGGAACCCAGACAAGACAGATGCACATTGACTGAGATGTCGAGCGTAGTTCTATCTTATACTATACAGTAGATGGTACAGCCAGGGGTGCTGCCTGACTCTCTGAGTATATAACTGCTCTTTCTTTCCTGGTATCACTATTATTTTCCATTCTACAGGCTTCACATACATATGCCCAAAGCTTCAGCCTGAAATATGCTAGCATGGTTTGCCAGCCGAAGGGGCCGAGTGACACTAATCTACTCGGAATATTTCTATGTCCCTATACCGCAGTCCATCTTGGATACGGATGGATTCCTTATCGGCAGCTTGTCCCCACTGGATGGAAACCGCACACGTACATTCAAGCCAAAACCGAGGCTTGATACCATCCGTGGTTTTATTTGCTATCGAGGTAAGGCTTAAGAGTGTGATATATGTCCGAAGGTCCTCGATATCCAGTGGACAGACTCTCTGAGTCGTAGTGCTGAGTACATCGCGTTTTTATTTAGGCATACATCAATGGAAATCATATTGGGGTTTAAATACAGTTCTTCTGAGGGGCAGGATTTCAGTGCCGCAATTAGCTCCGAGCATGCTGCTACAAAACTTTATATTAGAGTTGAATGGCTAATAAACTGCATACCCAAAATTAAAAAAAAAAAAATAACGAAAAAAGTGTGAAATTTTGATGAAACTTTGTTGATTTTTATAACTAAACGGCAAACCCAAAATTTTTAAAATTCTGAATAAAAAGTTCGGAAATAATCCTGTTGATTTTTTTAATTTTTGTACAAAGTTCGAAACTCTGTGTTTATATTGTTTTCTTTTTTTTTTTGATTCAATGAACTACTATTTAATATTTTTATAAAAAAATAATTAGAAAAAAAATAAAAAAAATTAAATAGTCAAAACTTGTTGTTGTAGCGGTGTTGTCCAAACTTGTCAAATATATCGGTGTGGTATAGTTCTGATAAGGTGTATACTTGTATTTACCATAAGGAAATAATATAAAATACAATTAATTTAATTGATAGCTTTAAATCATAAGAATCGAAACATTGGTCCATTAGCACAGAGGGTAGGTAAATTACCTTAATTAATTTTTGAGCAAATCCAACAAAAAAAATGTTCGCTAAAACTTAAAATCGTAGGTCAGTTACCTTAGATTTGCTAGCAGAAATTTTTCACACGCTTTGCGTACAGCTATACATTTGATAATGCAATTTAATTTGATTTGTCTCAAAGAGTATCAAATAAAATATCAAACGATTCGTGGCTTTTAAGTACCTTGAGCTGCCCTCGCTTAACTTAATTAGCGATTTTGATGCAAAAAGCAAATATCTACCTACAAACCCACATAACCGTATTCATAATGTAGTGTACTTATTGTTGCTATCTGCTTTTTATCTTCCTTTCACGATGTTTTGTTTATGGTTGTTATACAAAAAAAAACAAAAAAGAAATATTTCAATCCACTAAACAAATGCAGCATCTTAAGTTGGGCGTTGATATAAAAACTGCAAGACGACAACGATTAACCAGACACAAGTCGAACAGAGTTCACTAGAGTAACTAATCCAAGCAAACAAAGCAAATATGGTAAGTACCTTAACTAGAAAAAAATAATATTTTCGACTAAAAAGGACTTTAATTTGCAGAAATTCTTCGCTATTGCCAGCTTAGCCGCCATATTGGCTTGCGCCTGCGCTGACGTCTCTGAGCTATTTGGTTATCACTACCACCCGCATCACCATAGTGCTCCATCCCATTCGTACATTCCACCGGCAGCTACTGCTCCTGAACCAGTCTTCGCTCCTGCGCCCGCTCCAGCTTACCAGCCAGCTCCTGCAGCCGCTGCCCCAGCTCCAGTTTATCAACCAGCACCCGCCCCTGTATACCACCCAGCCCCAGCTGCCGCAGCCCCAGAGCCAGTCTATGCTCCAGCCCCTGCCGCAGCTGCTCCTGAGCCAGTTTACCAACCTGCTCCAGCGGCCCCTGAACCAGTCTACCAGCCAGCTCCTGCTGCCCCCGCTCCGGTCTACCAGCCAGCTCCCGCTCCATCAGCTCCTGTGTCATCTTACATTCCACCTGCACCTGCAGCAGCAGCTCCTGAACCAGTGTACGCCCCAGCTCCAGCCGCCGCTGCCCCCGAGCCAGTCTACCAACCTGCCCCAGCACCAGTATACCAGCCAGCTCCAGCCGCAGCAGCGCCAGCTGCAGTCTACCAACCAGCTCCAGCTGCCTCCCAAATCTACGAGCAGCCCGCTGAGGATGGTTACAGATACCGTACCGTGCGTCGTCGTGTCTACAGACAACGTCGCTTGTAAGCTGGAAAGTTTCGGATATCTTGTCGATATCGCAGAGGCTTAAAAGGCAAATTGATTTTGTAATTGGTTGGAATTGTTTTATTATCCAGTTGTTGTTTTTTAATTGTTTAAAATAAATTGTTTGATATATCGAAAAATAATGTATTAATTTCCAGCGAATGTTCAAGGCTCTACCAAAAAGAGATATAAGAATTCGTACTGTTGGAAAACAGGCTCCCTTCCTTGACTTTGGTGCCGCCCAGATACAAAACACGTACACTGAACGCACTATTCGCCACTTCAGGTCATCAAAAAGTTCGATCCCGGAAGTAGTTCTACATTTTACCTAGAAAGCAATGACCCGCCAGAGCAGCAATGATGTTAGATAAATATATCCTCCATTCATCGCGTTTATAAACCTCGAGACCTTCTATATCCCCCTTAGGCCAAGTTTGCCCAAAGTTCTGACAGGTATATTTCAGTAATTGCTGGACAATAGACAAGTTCCCTCTAGGGTAATGGCTATCGGACGCAATAAAGTCTGGGGCCACTTATATGCAGACATATTTTTGCGTGGAGTTGCCATCATTCTAGCAAATTTTTTTAATTTCCAAGTTGACCAAATATTTTAGTACCGATAGCAAATGAGTGGCGTAGGAATAACCGCTAATGCGAACAAAATAATTGATAGGGTTACCACCGTAACGCTTATGACCTTTAAAATAAAATCCATAATTAAGCAGTTAAACATCGATTTTAATTTTTCGAATCAAATATAACCGTTATTTTTAATTTAATTAAATTTTTTTGATCATAAAAAATTTAAATGCGTCATAAAAAGCAATCTCCATTGTGAGATTTAAAATTGATCGCAAAAAGGATAAATCCGAAAAATTTAAAATTTAAATTCAACGATTTTGCAATAAATATTTTGATGCATACTAAGCGAAAGCTTGGAAAGATTTTTGGATAGGGTTGCCAACTATTGTAAAATACGATAATTTAGTTACTTAGAGTTATACCATATTTTGAAGCAGGTTTTTCAAGCGAAAGGTAGCTGATCCGACTTTGTTGTTTTAATTTTTGAAAAGATTTGCCACCATTCGAAAAGCGCAAGCTTATTTAATTACATTAAAAACATATATGTAATACTCCTATATTGGCAGTAAGAGCTAGTACCGTCCGAAAACACTGCAGTACAGATATATCAATAAACACGTACGAAAGAAAAGGAACACATACGTTTATAAATAAACATGTATACAACACATATATAAAAACGGCACTCAAGTACACAATACATTGACAAAAATGGTACTAGACTGTCTCGCTTTGATTTCGGAATGCTTAAACATTGAGAAGTTAGGTTACTGCCAATATAGAAGTATTACATATATGATTAAAAACATAAGAGATATAAAATATGACCATATAATGGCAGACTAAAGCTAATGATTTTTCAGAATAATGTGTTCTGTAATATTTTTGAGTAGGGTTACCAACAAAAAAAAAAACGTCTTTAGCTCACATTATAAAATGTACATATTTTTTTATATCTAAACAGCTAAAAAAATTTTTTTTTTTTTTGAAATTACATATTTTGAAAAAAATTCCATCATTTCATAATCTCACTACCCGCAAATTTGAAATTTTTAATATTTTTGTCTTCAATTGAATTTTTATGAATACGTTTTCCAGTTATTAGTTTCCTATCTCACATATGTATATGCGTAGTACAACGTATTTTTAGAAGTATGTATGCAAGTAAAAGCTAAACCGATAAATGACTCTCAAAGCATAAATGTGTTCTAATTTCCGCATTTTAAAGTTTTAAACCGCTTTTGAGCCTTTCAATGCAATTAACATAAGTGCATATGAAGCGCAATATGCAACACGATGGCCCCCCTTATTTCCCATCGAAAAAAAAACCACAAACACATTTACCAAAGTTAGCCAATGCTGACTGCTGCTACCAACACTGCGGATCTAACACCGAGCACACCACCCCGCACACCGCAGCACAACACTAAATTAGTTTCCGACCCCATAAAATCGACGGCGGACTCGTAATTGATCGCCTCATTAAATGCGAGCAGCTTCCAATTGTTTCACGCATTCGGCGGCGTTCGAAGACTCAGCAACAGCCAACAGCCAATGGCCAACCGATAAAGCCACATAGCGATTTACGCCTACTAACGCGTGTATGCTTTGTTGATGTTGATGAGTGGGCAGAGGCGCTATGATTGCTAGTGGGCGCTGGGGGAAAAGGTGGTACAGCGCATACTTAAAGCTTGTTGCTGTAGTTAGCTGGCGCGGTCGACTGCCGTTTTGCTTGGTCGTTGTGTTGATTGCTAGCGATTTGCATAAATTCTAAATCGGCTTTAAATTTATTTGTTCAAAGCTTCCGCTCAGCGCTTCTCCACCACGACCACGACCACATTAGGGTGGTCCAAAATAAGTAAAGTCGGGCGCATAAAATATAGTTACTATAAAAATCTGGTTAAATAAATGATTGGGTATTATTATTGGGAATCTCCTGAAGAGGAATAGAGTTTCCCGTTCAAAAAATATTGATTTTTAATGAATTCCATACCATTTCTACGAAAAGTTGTTTTTTCCCTATATAAAATACATTGAAAACTTTGAGCGACCTCAAAATATTTTTTTTTTCAAAATAAAAATATAGTGGTATATTTTTTGGTATAAAACAATCTTAGGGAGCGAGAGCATAAAAATTTATTTTTCATATGCATTTTTGGACCACCTTAATGTACATACATCTATACACCATCATCACACTACTATTAACCACCATCTGTGGTTTTTCTACTTTCATTTTTGTTAGAATTTTTTTTATAATATTTTTTTTTTCATATTTAATAGCTTCTTTGCTACTCTGTTTTTAAGTCTTAATGCATCTCAATTTTAGCTGCCCATCGTTTCTGGCCTTATCGAGAGTACCACGCGTGTGTATAATTATTTGTTGCTTTAAGCTATATTTTTTTTTATATAATTTATTAATTATATGATTACAGTTTCAGTTTTTTTTATATAATTTATTAATTATATGATTTACAGTTTCATGCGGAGGCATATCAGGCTTTTTAAAATTTACATATTTTAAAAGGTGGCAGGTTAATACACATACATATATAAGGCTAAAATTTCGACGGCATATTTGTTTTCGACCATTGATCTATTCTTAAGTGATTTAAAAAAAAAAATATGGCCGATTTTCCGTAATTTTGATTATGTTTTTAAACTGAAGTTATATTTGAAATCTAGGTTTATTTGTATTTGTGTGAGTTTGGCTTCTAGATTATTCTCAAAAAGGAGCTGAGGACTAAATCCGCGCCTGCATTCATTGCATACTAAAAGTGCTTTACCCGAAAAAAACTAAAAATATATTTTTTTTAAGCCTATTACCTAAATATGGCCTTTCAAAATCTGAATTTTTGTCGAATTTATGTTGTTTAGTAAAAAATCCCAATTCTCTTAAATCTAAAAATTTTTTGTTTGTTTAATATTCTTTAACGTTAGTTTAATTGTTTAAAAATTTTTGCTCTTCAACTTACACTTGAAGTCATTAGTAGCAAATGTATGTACATATGTAACTTCTTAACTTCTTAGCTTCTTCACCCTTTCTGTTAATGTTCATTTTCCAATAATTCTTTCCGTTCTTTCGAATAGTCATTAATCAATTTGTACTTCCCCTTCCTCGTTTCGACGCTTTGCTTCACACTTTGTTAAATTCAAATTGTTATTTATTATCTTTAAATGGCGTTCATGGCTGAGTTAAAGAGACTTGCTACAGGTGTTTTTTGCGAAGACAATTTTTGTTAACGGCTTAAGAAGCAAAAAGAAGAAGAAAAAAAAACGTGAGTGTTCCTCGTTTATAATTTTAGTTTTTTTTGCTTATTTTTTATTTCGTGTATTTATCATTTCGCCTGGGCCTAAACCGATAAACGTTTGTAGTACCAAAAAAGAAGAAGAAGGAAGAGTTTTTCTGAATTTTTTTTAACTTCCAGTTTCATACAGATATCGCTTTTAACATCTGTTTTTTTTTTTTGGCATACATGTATGTAGGTATAATGTATTATAAAATATGTTATAGATAACTAAGTATGTATATTCTTATGCCGAACCAGTTTTCCCTGCTGGCTAACTAAAATTAGGCAGCTACTTATTTAATTGAGTGCATTGAACTGCCACTGCTCATCAGCAACGGAAACTTTAGAAAATGAAAGTTTATTTATTTAGATTCGTTAATTAGTTTAGTATAATGAGACAGTCAAAAATTACAGTGCAAAATCATATATAAAGTACGCAACTATTGTGGCTTAACATACACAAGTGGATTGCACTTCACTGGAATAACTAAACCAAACCAAACAAAGCCAAAATGGTAAAGTTCTAATTCACCAAAAAAAAAAAAAAAATCAAAATTAATAATTCGAAATCCTTTTCTCTCATTTCCAGAAATTCTTCTCCTTTGCCGCCTTCACAGCCGCTTTGGCCGTCGTTTGCGCTGACGTCTCCGAACTGGGTTACGGCTACCAGCAGCCTGCAGCTAGCGCTCCATCTCGTTCATACATTCCGCCAGCGGCATCTGCTCCTGCACCAGCCGTCGTCTCTGTCCCGGTACCAGCACAAGTGTACCAACCAGCTCCAGCTGCCGCGGCACCAGCTCCGGTCTTTGCTCCCGCTCCTGCTCCAGCTCCTGTTTATCACCCAGCACCCGCTGCAGCTGCTCCAGCTCCAGTCTATCAGCCAGCTCCTGCACCATCAGCTCCCGTCTCATCTTACATTCCACCTGCACCGGCTGCCGCAGCACCTGAACCCGTTTACGCTCCAGCTCCAGCTGCCGCCGCTCCTGAGCCAGTTTACCAACCAGCTCCAGTTTACCAACCCGCACCAGCGGCACCTGCGCCCGTGTATCAACCAGCTGCTTCCGAAGTTTACGAGCAACCCGCACAGGACGGCTACAGATACCGCACCGTCCGTCGTCGTGTCTACAAGCAACGTCGCTTCTAAGCTTCGAAACCTAATCTAATAACTAAAAACCTGTAAAGACCTATTGCTCTACTATGTGTTTGTGAGAAAATAAATTTGACATTACCTACCTACCAATGTTTGTTGAAAGAAAAAAAACTGACTTCGTAGCCTTTTCAAAATAGCAAACTCAATGGGCTCAATTAGAACTGAGACTGTAGATTACAAAATGCTGGTTAAGATGCATCTAGCTGGCTATTACTCACACATTGGCTGTTTGCTCCTTGGAGGAACCAGATAAGAATCGAGCCTTACGCAGCTAGCGAGTTCCAATTGATTTCAAAAATTTTTTTGGACAGAAATTCCGTATTATGAAGACATTGCCTAAGCCTGTATGAAATATTATCCGAAGTCCTTTCGATTTTTCGGGCCTTTCCTTTCTTCCGATTCCTGTCTCATCACGGTATCTGCGACAGAAGTCATTGCATTTCAGGCCCGGCTATAGCTCCGGTAACTTGCCGTTGTAGTCGCTACGAGATCCTTGGTCTATGAAAACATTGAGGCCATGCGGTGGGTTGACCCCTTAACTTTATAGCGCAAGGAGTTAGCGCCAGATCCAGTGCAAAATACGGTAGGGGCGCCTCAACCGTTACCTACAACCACCAACTCCCACGTTTTTAACGGGAGGGAGGCAGTCACTGCATTAACTTCAAAGCAATTTTTGTAGGGTCTCATCCTTAAATACTCAGGTAACAGAATACCGCAACCACCAGCTCAAGGCGGACCAACCACCAGCTCGAGACGGACAAATCAGAAACGTTGTCGAATTGGGGTGATCCGTTGATAAATGAATGATCAAGCCGGGCGAGATGTTTCACCTTTCGTTATTTGTTCCCCAAGCAAAGGTTGAGGCTAATAGTATCACCATCGTGAAGAAAGAGCAGGAGATTGAAAGCGAGAGGTGGAAAGTCATCATTTCCGAAGATCATTGCCAATCAAGAAACTTTGTCTCTCCATATCGAAAAGGAAGTTTTGAGCCCGAACGCTTAGTACCAGCAATCAATTCGCCAAAAAGGTACACATTTTCATGTTTGCTCTTTTGGACTGCGTTCGTATTTCACTTCTTCATCATATGCTTCTTCTTCTCTACCTATTGTTAGTTAATTTAATGTATGCATTACCTCTTCAATAAGCCTGGCCTTTCAACGCTTGCCAATTTGACCATGACTTTGAGAAACATAAAACAAATTTCGCGTGCACATTTTTTTACTTTTAATTTTATTTTCGGATTTCATCAGCATTCGCCACTTACGCTATACTCTGTAGGTCAGTTCTTCATCTTTGTTTGTCGTCATCAATTCCATTTTGATTAAAACTCAAAGATACATTTGTTACATTTTTGACAGCTAACAACTTAATTTAAGTCAAACAAATGGGCGCGCATTCGCATAAATTATATGCATTTGTTCAACCAACCATGGCTGCGTTTAATGAGTGTAATAAAAACAATAGAAAATCAAATGATTCCCATGTCTAGCTCAGTTCCGTATTAGATAAATAATTAAGGGTAGTAATTTAAGCTAATAAATAGGTAGTAAAATAAAGTTGAAGAAGCGAACTGGAGTTGTAGTTTCAATGCTGGCTGTTCTTTTCTTAATAAAATATTAATAGTTTGTAGTATTTAGCTAGTACACTCTAAAAACTGCATGCAAAACTGCTACTGAAAAGTATTTATTTTTCAACCAAAACCTGTGGAAATATACGCACAAGATGTTCACGATTTTTTTTTTGAACATGAGATGTTTAAAAAATATACATAAATATACACATGAAATGTTTAAAATTGCAAAAAAAATTGAAGAAAAAAATATATTTTTTACTAATAATAAAAATTAATTGCTCATATTTACTCAATTTTAAACACTGTGTGTGTAATTTTTCTCAAATTTTATATGTAAAATTAAACAGATAGTGTTTAATTTTGCACACATTAGGAGAGGAAAATGGTTACCTCTCTTTATATGTGTGAATTTAAACCAAATTTTTTTAGAACAAATTTTAAAAGTTTTATGTGTAAACTGTGAAATTGTGAACAATAAATGTTTAGAACTCAACAAACAAATTTTAAATTTGTTCTACGCCACACTTCTGATAAATAAAACTTAACAAGCAGTGTTTAATTTAATGAACACGGTGTGTAAATTTGCATTCATTAAGAGAGGAAATCTATCTTAATATGCGAAAATTTAAACAACAATTTTTTAGAGTGTAGGTGTTGGTTTTTTAAATTAAAAATTCAGCGAAGAACCAGAAATTTAGCTGAAAGTTGTTCTCTAATATTTCTCTTTGAATTATGCAGAACTTTTGCTCTGTTACCTGTTCTATGTACTCATTAATATGCCATTTGCCAATTTGCAAGTTTTTATTTTAATTAATTCAGTTTTTATGGTCGTAGCTCCATTTGCCATTTTCATTAGTTTAAGTATTTTCCAGTTTATTGGCTGTTATTTAGAAGCATTTGATGGTTTATAGTTTTTATGTATGTATGTATGTATAAATAACATACATATCGCTAGCTTAGAGTAAAAAGTTACTAAGTCCATTTTCTATGATAACTTAAGTTTTGACGCTCAAAGCGTGGAAAATTAGAATGGAAAACTTGCTTTGTCCAAAGGAAGAGGATAAGATCCAATATAACAAAAAAAAAATACACAAAATTTTTGATAACGTCGAGCTCAACGATTCGTATCGAGCTATTTTTTTGCTTTGAATACGCAAAAATTATGTATTGAAAATTTTGCTAAATATTTGAGGAAAATGAGTCTGGGGCGTTTATCTTTCCTCCTGTTAAATTAAAAAAACTTGACTTAGCAAATTTTCACTCTAAGCTATATCGCTAATTTGAGGTTTATTGACTGCTAATGGAAGTGAACAAAAAGCATACAAATTTTAATATAATTAGTAAATATGGATTTTTCCTCAAAAAATAACTGCTGCATACACATTTTAAGTTTCTAAATATTTTCAATAAATTTCTAAAGTGTGAAATCAGAAATTCTTTACTTTTTTGAAAAATTTGTAAAAAAAATTTCGATAACGATGAAGATGTGTATTGATAATTGTTATTTTTTGGCCCAACAAATAAAATTAAACAAAGACGGTCTAAAGTTCAATATAAATCGATTGAAAAGAAAAAAATATCACGATAAAAATATCGATAAATATCTAAAAGCCAATAATATATAGAGATTTAAATATTATAAGATGTATAATATGTTATATATACTATAATATATGTATGTTTTTATCGATATTTTTGGACAACGGGAACGGTCTCGGTGAATGCCAGCGTAAACAGTTCGCAAATACATCGTTTTATATATTGATAATTGTGTCGATGAGTATATTTACACAAAAAAAAATGATAACACCATTTTAAACGAATATATAAGTAAATGCATTTACAGCAATGAATATAGAAAAATGTTTCCGAGAACTATATTAAGAAATATTGCGATAAATTTATCGACATCGATAACAGTTTCGAAAAATAATCGACTAAAATATCTATAAATTTTTCAAATATAACACAATGCAATTTTTAAGTAATATGCTGATTAAGTTAGCGATAAATTTTTCATACATAAAAAGATAAGAAATTAAAAAAATTAGTCGCTAAAAATATCGATTAACGCGAAAATTGTTTCGATTAATGCCTATTTTAAAAACCTGTTTTTATTTTCAAAAACGAAAATACAGACGTACAAATTAGATTACCCATTTTTGAATTAATACTCGCACAGGCTTCCTTGAAGGTTTTTAAAACTTTGAACATTACTGTTTAGAGTAAGAAAAAAGAAAATATTTAGTCGATATTTTTTTATTTTAGGGATGGATAAAGCCATTAAAGTTTCTGGCACTTTTTTAGGTTTGGGGTTTTGTCGGATTTATGCGGGTTCTTCGGCTGGCGTTCTCAGAACTTTTTCAGAACCTAAATGGAAATTTCGGAACTTTTTCAACTTAAATCGAAAATTATTTTAGTTTAAAAATTACGGAATTTCCTTTTCAATTTTTGGTTTAAAACGCCAAAGCTATTTCTTTTTTACACAAATACAGATTTTTTCATATAACACCAATACTTAGTACGATCTTAAGCTTCGATTAATATGAGTACCAAAATGTCTATAAGTATGCCAATAGATATGCAGAAAAGACATCGAAACCACTTCTGAAAAATATATTGGTTATATTGGGCTATGATCTATATAATCAACATAAAGATTAAACGTTTTTTTATGATTTTTATTTTTTCTATCAAGAATAATCATTATTTTTGGATTTTTGCTTTTCCATCAGATAATAACTGTTATTTGCAGATTTAATTTTGAAGATCACAAAGAATATAAAACGATCATAAGAACAAGGTCTAATTTCAATGGTAAACAATTATCGAAAAAATAAATTAGAAAAACTACTATTTTTTTATCGAAAAAATAAAAATCAAGAAATATCGATTTTGCAATGATCTCAAAATTAAAGATCTTGGTATTTAGGTAATGACTATTTTTTTTTTGGGCCCTTAAAAGTACTAAATATATAAATATATCGCTGAAATATTGATCTATGTATCGACAAACATATGAGTAAATGTTTCGATAAAAGTAGTGATAAAAGTATCTAAAAACATTGTTACTGACACTTTCAAGCGCAATTTGGTTCATAGGAAAGATATTTTAAAAAGTCCATACATTCAAAATTGGGTTGCCAAATAGCGTTATGAAGAAAATTCGATTTTATCTGGATGAAATTTTATATATTCGAAACGATTAAACAATATTACACCCTAGAATTGTAGTCGCTTTGCACCTTATATGAATCATCGAATTTTTTGGACACTTCTTTTTTTACCTTTTGCTCCCATTTCATGCTTTTCTACTCCGGATACCTGCACGTTGCTCTAAAATCATCCATCACTTCACTCGCTGCCACGTGCAGTTCCACAATGTTGCTGCATACTTCAAGCCAACGCCAGACATTTCCTT